ATGCTCTTTTGTGACTAGAATGCTTACTTTCTCAGAGTTTACAGCATTTCCCCCATATCTTAAGTCCCTACCACGTTTTAAACCAACATTTAAAACAATGTCAACTATTTCTATTGAAATGTTTAATTGTTTGACTTGTCCCTTTCAAAGTTCAGTATGTCTTCCTGGAGTTTGTCCTCTTTGCTCTTCTTTCACTTGTAGTCGTTTAAATTCTCTCTCCTTCATTTTCATTTTCTCTGTTAGAATCCTAAACATACCACTTCCCTCCTTCTGGTACATCCTTCAACACTTACAAGTTTACACTTCTCTACAAGCATGATATTTCTCCTGTTTTGTTATTTTTGGGTTTTTTTCAGATTTTGCACTATAAGACTCTCATTGGTATCATTTATTCTATTTATTATAATTTATATTACAACTTTGAAACTCATGACATGTCAGATGAATATATTGTGAGGGAAACATAGGGAGCACATGACAGCTGCAGATAAGAGCTGTCTTTAATGCCGTAGTCCCTCCCTCCCAAACCCATGTCACGACTGCACGCTAATGCTCTGCTATGTTGACTCTTTCCTCTCCAAGTCTCTCTTGGTGTAAAATATTTTGCAGAGAGATCCTGAAATATTTGAGAGAAAACTGAATCTGGTTTCAGTTTTACAACCAATCAACTAGGACATGCTGCTCAGTTTCCATGTGGCTGTTTCCCCTCTCCTTATCTCAAAGAGAGGTTCTAATTAGGGATAAGCCAGGGATAAGCCAGGTGGAGTGAGACATACCTGGAAGAAATACACTCAGAAAATATTATTGCTCAGTTTTCTCCTCTTGCTGCTCCTCAAAACACTCTGGCCTTCTTTTTATCTTTTTGACTTATTAATAGAAAATCAAAGAAAAGCCAAGAATTGGAAAAATGAGTAAGGGAATAGTAGAGTATACTGAGAAAAGTAAAAATTAACAAGATGATAAAAACAGTAATAAAAGAACAAAGTTGCACAGAGAATATCACTGGAACTGTGGCATGTGGCCTAGGCCAACTTTAACTTTTTATCTGGGAATATGTAAGAAACTTCCTCTCCAAAATGAGGAAAATTCAATTATTAATTTCATTCAAATATTTATATAAATATGAATTCTATTGTAGGTTTGTTTCATGGATCACTAGCTACTCATTGGAGAAGGATTAAGACTACTTTTATGTTTACATCATAATTAAAAACTGATATTTCATTGTAAAGCAAGAAGACAGTGGGATTCCTTTGGTAAAGCGGTATTTATCCTAATGTATTAGGAATATACTTATTACCACTGTGGAAGCTATAAGAACACAGATATTCAGTTGTGATTGAGATCACAGCTCTAGAGTCAGACAGATGTTGACAGGAAATATCTATATAGCCACATTTTGGTAATCTGTTTACTTGTTTCTGTCTCTGTTTCTAATCTAGAGAATTGGACTAATAATAATACCTAATTCATAAGGATTGAATTTGATCTTCTGTTTGACTTATGCCCATGAGCATAGTCAACTTTGCTATAAAATATTTCCATGTAAACTTTGAAAAACATTTCCTCCAACTAGAAGATCTTAAGATGCCAATTGAATGCCATGACTCATAATGAACATTTGGGTACAGGTGTGAAGGGGCAGCATACGTTGACAAGCTGACATGACCTGCTTGTATAGCTGAGACATTCAGCAAATGACACACATGCAAGACTGCTACTTCAGTTCTCATATGCCCATCTGTAGTAGTTAGAATCACTGCAATTTTCTACCTTGAAGACATTGAATAGCAAGAAGTCAAGTGACGAAATGGATAAGATACACTCCTTCTGTGTTTTGACCTTCTAAAGTATTATCACGAAGAGAAATGCCTCAGTTGTTGATAATGATTATCAAGCCACACTTTATATAACTCTTCAAAATAGAGGGTAAATCTTCAAAAAACACAAAATATAGAAAAGACTACACATAACCACTGGTAAAGCATGAAGTCTGAGTTCTGACAGAATCCGTGTATAAATCCACAGCATGTATGTGAGCTTTGTTGATTCACATATCTTTTTTGCATCAGTTTCCCCAAATGGAAAATGAGAATGATAGAATACATGTGATTGTCTTATTGGTTTGTAACGAAGGCTAAATAAGATAATTCAGATAAAGCAGCTTGCAGAATGCCTGTAACAGAGGCATATTCTGCAAAGGGAATCCCTTCTCTTTCCCTTGGAATATTATATTGCAAAACTACTAAGGGTCTCTAATTACTGATGCTACATTTTTTTTTAATGGTTATTTATTTTTGAGAGAGAGAGGGCAAGTGCATACAAGATGTGGGGGGGGGGTAGACAAAGAAGGAGACAGAGGATCTGATGTGGCACTTGAACCCATGAATCATGAGATCATGACCTGAGCTGAAGTTGACTGCTTAACCAACTGAGCCACCCAGGTGCCCTATACATTTCTGAAGTGAGATGGAAGTAACTGAGATGGGTTAAGGCCAATCTATAGAAACAACTCAACAAGAAGTATAAATGAAAAAAAAAATCAGTCAATAATTTATTGTTTGTTCTATATCATGTAGAATTATTGTATTTTTATAAAGCAAAATTGATTTTTTGTTTTGCTTGAATTTTTTAGTTGTTCTATTACTGGGTGTTTAGAAGCATAGAATTCTTCAGCTTGGTAACCTGACAGTTATAATAAAGTAATTTGAATCCAGGCCCCTTTGGCTATTTTGACCTCCATGCCTCATATTGTTTGAAAAAAAAAAGTTCTGCTTTCATTGTAGGCAACAGTTAAAATAATATTCTTTGAGTTTATTTAGCAGTTGATTGAATGATTAAATATGCATTTGAAGTAGCCAAAAATGAAATCATGGAAAAAACCCTCACATTAACATTGATTGAATTTTTAACAAATGAGTTGATTAGTGGAAAAAGAAAGAGGAACACAGTTCATCAAATGCAACTTGATGCCGGGTCCCTGGTTTCTCCACAGACCTAATGTACTCATGTCATAGCGCCTAGAAAAAAAATTAATGACTGTTTCTTAACAAGAATATACTTTCTGATTAATGAATCATGCACTGAAACCACTGCTTTTATTTAGTTAGTTGTTCTCCCTTTCAATGAATTTATATTCACTTCCTCTGAAAATTGTGGAAGATAATCAGAGTGTCATGCACATGCATGTCGAAGGACCAGCACAGAGGATATACGGTCATAGCATAGGTGTGTATAGACTAGCTTAATTTCTTATTTTCTCTGCCATAAGTAAGGACTTAGGCTGAAACTAACCCAGAAATATTAAAATATAGCAAGGGCCCAGGTATGATCCAGGATGTATTCATGGTAGAATGGTAGAATTCAGCCAGGTCTCGGGGGCCCACAGGAGCAGGGGAGTTTGAAACAGGAGGCCATCATGCACGCTGGCTAGAGTAACAAATCTTTGAAGGGGGTTCAGGTACAGCAGCATTCAGATTAGAGTCCTGCATCTATAACTGCCAGAGACTCACATAGGAGTCCTCAGAAGTAGCTGGCATAAGAAGCAGAAGGGGGAGAGGGAAAGATTAATCACACAAAATCTGAAAAACAAAACCAACTAAACCAAAGCAATGGACAGGGCCTACTGTTTTCACTAGAAATTTTTTAAGGTTTTGAGAGTTCAGAACAATGCTTGACCATAAAAGGTGTGTCATCATCATTGTGAGGAGAGAGAGGCCCGGCCTGGGAGGCTGCTAGAACTGGGTGGATGCCCCCTGCAGGAGGCAACCGGTAGCCAGGGGCAGCAGAGGCCAGTCCCTTCTTCAGCTTTATAGGCAGAGGAGACCTTGGTAGAATCAAGAAGGATTTTTCATTAGCGCACATGAATTTCCTCCAGAGATTCCTAGATCAGTGGCAGGCTTCTCAGGGGGACTGAAGAATCTACCATATAATAATTACTGCGATTCTATTTTAACGTAGACTGGTAAAACCTTGATTAATATTTGTTAAAGGGGAACATCAGAAAGCCATCGTGGGGTGGTGGGAATACACCCACACCAGCTGTGGGTCAACACATTTAGGGAGACTCTTGCTGCCCTACTTACTGTGTGCCAGCCCTTGCTGATGAGTGCTTGTGCATTTAATCCTCACAACAAGTCTGTTTCTCTCCCAGTCTTACATATGAGAAAACAGAAGCCCAGAGAAGTTAACTAATTTGCCCAAGTCACACAGCTTGTAAGTGGTGTATACCTGGGACCTAAAGCAGAGAGCTGAGCTTTAGTGATTGTCCTCTTACCAAGTGACACTCATTATGCTCACTAAATGCTTGCTGATTCAAACCATTTTGCCATGGTATTAAAAATGTCTTGGGTTTATTGTTCTGGACTTTGAACACTTAAAAGCAATCAGAAAAACGCTCATAAGTACACTGAACTGAAATAAGATCACAAATGATTGGAACATGGTACAATCATTTATTAACTTTTCTAATTAACCAAGGAAAATGACATCATGCTTTCAATGTTTTCTCATTCCATAAGGAAACTAAATTTCTAGGAGGTTTGGCAGCCCATGCTGAGTCATGGAGCTGACAAGTAAATGAGTCCGTAATAGACCCTGGGGCTCCTGGTTTTTCTAGCTCTTTCCCCAGTATCCCATAGCTGCCTGGTCTTGGGAGATGGGATCGTGCTAACCCAGGATCCTCCCTAGAGATTGATAACTAGAATGAAAAGATCTCAAGGGCTGTGCTTCTTTTGCTCTTCTTCTCATCTGGTTGCCCGACGGAGAACAACTCTGATTGAATATGTTATTTGATTATTCTAGTTAGTCATACTGAGGATCAACCAACTTTAACCATTAAAAAGGAGAAAATGGACAAAACACAATGTACGACCATCCCTGACTGCAAAGTCAGAGCGGCACCACCCATCCAGTTCTGAACCAGACAATTACATAGAAACTATCAAAGGACAGTTACATAAATCAGGAAATCCACCAGCCTTTTCTCTAGGTTCACTTACCTTGGTGCGAAGGATGATTGGCAATGGCAGTAAAATCAACAGAGTGAAAACTATGAGGAAAAACTTGCGATAAACTAAAACATAGCTGAGGACTTTCATTGTCCTGAGCAGGCACCTTTGATAGTGCTCTACTCAAAATAAGGCAGATGTTAAATAACCAACGTGGATTAATATTTCTCTAGCCCATCATCATCATTTACTGCCCTAGACGGATCAACATGAGTTAAAATTAAATCTTGATTTTTATTGTTTTACTGTCACAATTAACATGGAGAGATAAGCCCAAGGGAGTTTGAAAGAAATCACATGCCACTTGCTGGCATGGATTTTGAAAGATACAGCTGTTCTTTCCCTATTTAATTTGTTCACATTATTTAGGATATTTACTGGCCATATCTAGGAGAAGGCAAAATAGTGAAGTTTGTTGACTTTGCCTACAGTGAGGCCCCTCTGCCCCTTTCGATGTCCCCTGACTTCAGGGCTCTGTGTTTGGTTGGTGCCTTAAGCAATCCCTACTGGATGCCTCCAGAGCCCTTTCTAAGAAAGTGCATTTTCAGTGTGTGAATTGAAACAGTGATTCCAATAGTAGGAATTTCAGTGTATGGCAATGTGAAAGGTAAAGGTTTTGGTACAGATTTTTCTAGGGCTTCTTGGGTAATGTGTTGAGGCAGCCCTCTGCATTGCTCATGTAAAGTATGGCTTAGAGAAGAGCTCCTGACCTCTCTTATTTGGGAATTCTTTGCTTTCATTCAAAAGATAAATAACACTGATCCTGATGTTGAGCAGCATTTTTCTCCCCAATATCACACTCAGTTGCACAATGATGTATTCACTATTTGAAAGCAAAATTCTGTGTATTTCTTGTACCCCATTGTCTCTTTTGATAGAAAACTGAAAGTTCTCAAGCCTTATATAAGCCCTACCCTGTTCCACGTTTCCATGACTGAGTTGACACTATGGGGTTGATGCTGACTACTTAATTAACAGGAAATCATCCCAGAGATAAGTCATTGAGGCCATTCAAGGGGTGAGTGTGTGTGTGTGTGTGTGTGTGTGTGTGTGTGTGTGTGTGTATAAGCACATGTGTGAAGATAGGGACTATTCTGACAGTGGCATAGTGGATGTATTTTACAAGTGCTCAGAGCTAGGGACTCTGATTTGTTTTTAATTGTGTTGTAAATTAATAATGCAATACACTTCAATTAAACAACTACTATGCACTTAGCCCTAGGTATAAACAGAACACATTTCTTTCTATAATTTATAGTCAATTTCTCTTGGCATAAAGAACCTTACTTTTAGGTAGTCCTTGGTTAGCATTTAGACCTTATTTCTAATTCCACACTAATGTAACTGCTTTCTTTTCTTATCAAAGAAGGTAATTCTTTCCCAATGTTCTTTGTATTATTAACATAGATGAGAAAGCACTTTTCCCTCTAAATGTCTAAATTGCTAAAGATGTATCACAGATAGGGATTCAGGAAAATCAGCAGAGTATACAGAAAAAAAAAAAAAAAAGCCTCAAAACAAGAAAGGCACATTACATTTTAAATTTCTAAGGTGAAAAAAAGAGAGGGTAATTACAAATNCTTATTTCTAATTCCACACTAATGTAACTGCTTTCTTTTCTTATCAAAGAAGGTAATTCTTTCCCAATGTTCTTTGTATTATTAACATAGATGAGGATGTGAGTGTGAATGATTCGTACTAAATTGCTAAAGATGTAACACAGATAGGGATTCAGGAAAAAAAACAAAATAAAAAAAAAAAAAAAAAAAAAAGCCTCCAAACCAGAAAGGCACATTACATTTTAAATTTCTAAGGTGAAAAAAAGAGAGGGTAATTACAAATAATAGTAATAAATAATGAGCAATAATAATAAAAAGTGCATTAAAAACACATAAAGGAACACAGTTACTCAAAACAATTTCAATACTGTTTTTTCCCACATAACACCCTGTACAGTTCATTGCATGCTTTTTTTTTTTTTTTTAAGGAAACCATTTCTGTTCGTAAATTTCCTTAGGCCACATAGTGAGATCATTTGAGCCTCACTTTCTTATGTTAGAGGATTTTACTTTATGAAATGATACCAAAAATGAAAAGGCATTTGTGTGACATTTAACAGAAATGGAGGAACCGTGGCACTCAAACCAGATGGAGACTGAAGGAAAAGCTCTTGACATTTGTCAGTGCCTCCTTTCTGTGCCCTATTTTCTCTATTCTGGAGCTCTTTTCACCAGACTAAGGCTTGCAACACCATCCTATTGTGGCCCAAGGCTCTAGTCAACTCAGTCTTCTGTGGGTGCCCCTCATTACAAAATGGTTACACCTTTTCTTTATGTCCAGCCAATCTCTTGTTCCTCACTGTCACTGAGAGAAAAAGATCTGACAGGATAATTCACACTAAGCATGAATGAGTGATATGAGCCGCATACCTCTCTAAGAGTCACCAGAGAGTGACACTCTCAATGTGAGACTTTGGGCCCCTTGGTAACATATCTTAGGGTGTCATTCAAATCACATCACACTGTTAAGCAGTTCTACAATTGTCAAAGTGCACCTGTTCTTTGTACAGAAATACATAACTTTCCTAATATATCATGGTTGTGCTATGCTTACCTATCTGATCTAAAATGAATTACACCAATATGTAATTAGGGATTAATTCATTTAAAACATGTTCTTTACAAATGTAAAAATATTAGAAACATTATTTATTTATTTACAGTTATTTACTATGTGCCGGGAATTTACATAACCAACTTGCTTAATCTTCAAAACCCAATACAATGTAATATTACTGTAGGTATTGTTATAATTATTTCTCTTTCAAAGATTTGGAAACTAAAATGCAAAGAGACACAAAATGTCTGAGGTACTAAGTGATGTAATAATGATTTAAATCCAGTTCTTTCTGGTTCTTAAGGCAATGGTTTTTTTTTTTGAACTATGTCATACATATACCATAATGACTATTAATCTGACACTAATACTAACCATCAGATCTAGAATTTGTATATAGGCACGATTTGGTTGGCTTAGAAATTATAGCTATAGGGCTTACTTTTTTTTATGTTCCTTGAGCCTTATGACTGAATATAACATGTGAAACTCAGGTTCCAGTATGAAGAGAAGAAAAATTCTTTTTATATTCTGGTTACCTTCATGAAGAAGTTAGGTTGACCAGGATATGTAAGCTATGTAGACAGTTTGTATGAGAGGAGTGGAAAGCAGCTTTTACGTGGCTATCCTATGTGCTTCTCTCAGGCTTGCTTTCTGGGTGTCTATTTCTTATCCTACATTTGCTCCCAAATTTGTGCTTTTCTTCAGGCCTTTCCCTCTTCCAAGAATATGCTTCCCTTCTCTATATTTAAATCCCACCAATCCTTGAAGTGTGACTTGCACACTCATCCCCAGTCTGCTGCCTTCTATAAATCCATCCTGACAATTCCTGACTTTCTATGCACCACCCAACAACATCCAAGCAACCTGGAGTGCTTGACAAAGGTACAGGTCCCTGCCCTGTTGGTCAAAATGTGACTTCATGTTGGGGCCCCCGACATAGTTTTCATGCACAGTAATATATGAGAATCATTGACTTAGTATCTGTAAGATACATTCTGGCCTATAAGTAAACTGGCTTACATTAATTACTATTTTAATAATACATGTAAATCTTAAATCCTAAGTAAGACTGCAAACACTTTGAGTCCAGGGGACATTACTTTACTTCCCTTATGTCCCTAGCAAGTTAGGGACAAGTGAATACTCTGTGAAAAGTGTCTCTAAATTTACCTACAAATACAGACAAGTGGTAACCAATTAGCCTCACTGCTGATAGAGTATGGTTTCTAAGAGCAGTTCTTCAATAGAGTATTCGGTTTGCAAAGAGAAATGGCTTGTTCATGGGGGAATATTTGCTGCATTGCAAATACAATGTATATATACTCAGTATATACACTCAGTATATACTTTTACTAGAAAAAAAGTCAGAATGCTTTTACTATTTGTGAAAGCAGATTGGCACATTTGGTATTTAAAAAAAACTGCATTTGCTTCAATTATGTGTTCCTATTTTCATTCCTTGAATTTTTAGAGTTCAAGGTGCATGCCAGTTTGAGTTGATTGCTATTAATGAGACTACTGAATTAAGGAATGTAGGTCATATTTTCTTCTTAGTGCATTGGCTTCTAAGCTTCGACTAGTTCCTAATTTTGACACTCATTCATGGGGCATCTCCATTTATATATTTTTGTTATTTATAAATCCCACAACTTCCAGACACTGCACTGCGAAGGGTTTTACTCTCTGAATGCCACATGTGAACTGTGCCCCAAAACCTTTTTTGATATTATGAAAACTAAGATAACTTTTTCCCTGCTACCTGGCATTTAGTGGTAATTTTCCTAAGTACTTTTTAGTATTTTCAATTTTTTCTTGCCCACTTTTCTATTCTTTAAGATGACGAATTCTCCTGATGGAAGTGAAACATATAGATAATCTATACAGGAAAATTTCCAGGCCCACATCAATGAGCTGTATCAGCTTTTATTTTTATTTTCTAATGCAAAGGATAAAGTCATTATTTAGGGAAGGACAGTCTACCCTGGGAGACTCCAGATTCCTGCATAACTCCTAAATTGCCACACTGATTATTAACCACAACTTCAGTAATCATTCTTCTGATGCCATGAGGTAAATGGCTGACTGAACAGTGAAGCCTGAACTGTGTCCTGTGGGGTGAGGGCCTGAACTCCCATGAACTGAGAAGCAAAGCAAATTCCGAAAGAGAACCTATTTCCGGCAAAAACAGTAGTCACCAGAACACAGTACTCCAGCCCAGACACAACTGGTCACACCCTCTACCAGGGCGGGAGGAATGTTTTCCCTTGACCAACGCTGACCGTATCTTTATTCTGGGTTCTCCGGGAAATGAAAGGGAAATTTTAAGGATAGAGGGAGGAAGAGAGAAATGTCGAGAAGAAGGGAAGAGGAAAAAGGACATTCTGGATTACTTAGCATATCATTAGAAAAGCAAGTGAATTGTCTAGAACTCTGTTTACTTCTGTTTCTTGCCCACTCTTCCCTCCCCTGCC